CACAACCATCTCTAGGGTTTACAGAGAATGGTCCGAAAAATAAAAAATATCCAGTGAGCGGCAGTTCTGTGGGCGCAAATGCCTTGTTGATGCCAGAGGTCAAAGGAGAATGGCCAGACTGGTTCGAGCTCATAGAACAGCAACAGTAACTCAAATAACCACTTGTTACAACCGAGGTATGCAGAAGAGCATCTCTGAACAGACAACACATTGAACCTTGAGTTAGATGGGCTACAGCAGCAGAAGACCACACTGGGTGCCACTCTTGTCAGCTAAGAACAGGAAAGTGAGGCTACAATTTGCACAGGCTCACCAAAACTGGACAATAGAAGATTAGAAAAATGTTGCCTGGTCTGATGAGTCTCGATTTCTGTTGCAACATTCAGATGGTAGGGTCAGAATTTGGCGTCAATAACATGAAAGCACGGATCCAGCGTCATTTCAACTCCACAGCCTACCAGAATATTGTTGCTGACCATGTCCATCCCTTTAGGATAGTGGTGTCCAAAGTCAGTCCTCAAGGGCTGRTGTCCTGCATGTTTTAGGTGCTGCCCTGGTTCAACACAGCTGAACCTAAGGAATGCTTAATTAGTGGGCCTCCGCAGACATTGATTGCATACTGAGAATGTAAATCTTCTATTTGAATCAACTGTGTTGAAGCAGGAACAAATCTAAAACTTGCAGGAGACSAGCCCTTGAGGACCGGAGTTGGACATGCCTGCTTTAGGACCAMAGTGTACCCATCTTCTGATGGCTACTTCCAGCATRATAWGGTGCCACGTCATAAAGAGTGAATCATCTCAGACTGGTTTCTTGAACACAACAATGAGTTCACTACTGGAATGGCCTCCACAGTCAGAGACAGGTGTGTGCTAACATTTGCTGTTCAGTCTTTAAACTGATCTGTTGTGGTCTTGCAGCTCAATTTCTTCTGTCAGGAGGTCCAGCAAAAATCGGAGCCATTTGAGTCTCAGGGTCCGCTTTCTGGAGGACCCTCACATAAAGATGCTGTCTACTCCTGGTGAGTCTCAAACACTCCAGTCTGCAGCTAATGTCTGTCTGTTAGTAGGGCTGGGTATCATGGCCAATTCTCTAAATCGATTCAATTTCCATTAATAAAGTTCTGAGTCGATTAATCCCAATTCGATTCAGTTCAATTTGATGAAAATGGTTCAACTGTGTTGTAAAATGCAATGTCACTACTTTTGTCTCTTCACCATATACAACAGGTTTTAAGGGCAATATTTTAATATAAATTTAGTCTTGAAGGAAAACTGTCACAAGTTTAAAAAAAAAAAAAAGTAGGTCCTCTGGATGGGTCAGTTCTTATAAGGCTGAGTTCACCTGAAACTTCTCAGCCTGAAGAAGTCTCTTGCAGGAGAGACTAAATGTTTCACTAAAGAAGAACCCGTCCAGAAGACTTACTTTTTTTTTTCTACCTGGGTTACTGAGATGCACCAGGACATTTTGTCACAAGTTTAAAAGGTTTTAAATTAAAAAGGAATTGCAGGTGATAGTGTTTTTGGAGGCATTCAGTTTTAAGTAATTAATTATTATTTTGATGAATAAGAAGTGATGGAATAAGGTTGCAGGAGAAGAGGTGGGCTAATAAAAATACAGTTCTGCCCACTCCTTTTGAGTGTATGAAATCTGTGTTTTTGTAATCTTTCTGTTACCATCTGTTGTCTTGTGCAATAAAATATTATTAAAACTTATTACTTATTAAAAATACAACATTTAATCATTGTGACTTTCATTAAGACGTTTCTTAAAGTTTAAAAATAGTAATATTGGTAACAAAACAAAACGATTTTTTTAGAATGTCATCTTTAACACATCAACATGCCGTTGGAGAACAGTTTCAGTCAGATGCTTACGTACCATTGTTTGGTTTAAACACCTGAATGAGCCGCCCGTCAAACCCTGCTTCTTTTACCGCTAACACGTAGGAGCACAAATCTTTGCAAACAAAAGTCACCATGGTCTCTGTTATCTTTAAGTTCTGCTGAGAGTCGGCTGGTAACTTTAGTGATTTCCTTAGTTTCTTTTATTTCGATCCAGACAACGTGTTGTCAAAAGCTAATGTTAGCACTGAACGTCAACCAGATGTATACGGCAAGCCAGAAATGACAAAATCTAGAATCATGCCTCAGACGCGCGCACAAAACGCCATGGGGAAAAATCAATCTGTCGATCGATTTTCTCAAA